CGTTTTTATTCGTTGGATTAGTACCATCCTTTGAATTTTATCATCACTAATACGAAAGAAAAGATCATAAATCTTCCCGAGCAATAAAATAAAAGTACAATATTTATATATGAAAAAGTGACATGAAAATTTTTATTTTTTCCAATGCATTCCAATGCAGATTATATTTTTTATTCCAAAAGAACGAATTTCATTTTATATTTAATATTTACTTTCAATCTTTTTCTCTCTTGACTTTCGGGGAGTTGCAAAAGCATTTGCAAAATATTTAGTATAATTAGTGATTTGAGGCGGTTTTTGTGGCCGACCAACATCTTTAAGTTCATCCAATAAAGTATTTCCATTAGCTTCCATATATAAAATTTGTATATTATTCTTTATTATCATCTGTATTAAATAAAGACAAGACGATTAGAAATAGTACTAAAATAAATATATAATAAAATTAACTTTTTACCTTATATTTGTATATTGAAACTAAAAATTTTAAAAAAATCTTAAATTTATCAGTAGAAAATTTCCTCGGCACTTCATATAGCGGAGGATCTTTTTTAAAGATCGTTATCGATCCACCTGCTCTCCACAGCCTGCTAAATTGTATTTTTAGTCCAAGGTGTATGATCCCAAAAACTTGAAATTTATTCATTTTACTCTCATCATAATCAACAGCTATAACTAAATCTGTCAGCATATCTCGTAATGTTTTTGGCATTTTAAAATATTCTTCAAGATATTTTTTGTCATGTACTCCAGCGTAAGATCTTGCACCTTCTATCGCTCCCACTTCATGTAAATTTTCTATCAAATACACAATGCCATCTATTTTCCTTCCTGTCAATTTTCTTTTGGATTTTTTAGAACGGTTCTTTCGATTTGAGCTTGCATATGATGGAACGTCCGATCTGTAAAAAATTAGCATTAATATGTAACAATATAACCATTAATGATTTATACCAAATAATAAATGAAAACCTTTTAACATCCGTTCCTAATTTTGCATCTCTATATGCAACATCTATACAAGCTCCAAATAAGGCAACAGTATACCAATATTCGTATTGCTTTTGTTGAAAAGGAGAATCATCATTTTCATATAGACCCACTATAGTTCTGATTGATAGTTCGTATCATCGCCGGAAATTATGATAAATCGTTTCAATTTGTACCTCATCTGCGGTCCCTGATCTCTTAAGATTCTCAGCAAACCGATTGGGTTGTTGCTCATTGGGACTTAGAAGGAATTCATCGATTTCGTCATCCAAATTCTACAGAAGCGCAAGATCAAATTATAATTATAGCTATTGACGATCAATAAACAAAAAATCGTTGAGATAAACTTGCTCTAGAATACCTTCGAAGAGATGGTCATCTTCCCGGATTGAGGTGAAGAACATGATGGTGATGATCCGGTTCTGATTCTCTTCCTTCCTTTTTCCATTGCATCAAACTCAGCATCGGAATATTCATGAAGTCCTCGTTGTGCAATTTGAAATCCCTGCTGTGTTATTTTATGGACAGATTGCCTTCCCCTTTTCTGTCAAAGTTCGATAAGAACTGAATAAGAAGATGTTAGGATGCATCAAAGAGATTAATGAGTACTTGCTTTATCAATTTCCAATTCCATGTCGATCAAATTGGACTCTATCTTCAATGATGCGATTTGATCATTTTTCTTCCAAACTTCGTAATTTTGCGTTTTCTCCATCTATATATAATTAGGTAATTAGGATTAGTGATGCACTCTTGAAATATTGGATAGGATGAAAGTTCACAAGGTACCACGGACACTCGTTCCGACCAACGTTTCAATGCCCACGCGCACGCGGAGCTACCCATCAGTTTTGCACTCGGAAAAAAACTTTCTCAACACTCGGTTGCTGGATTAGGCATAGAGTACGTCAGCTGCGTTTCTATAGCCACGCGCACGCGGAGCTACCCGTCAGTTTTGCACTCGGAAAAAACTTTCTCAACACTCGGTTGCCGGATTAGCTATAGAGTACGCTAGCACCACCAAATCTGCGAGCCGAAAAAAAAATTGTACTTTCCTTCAATTCGTATTGCAATCTACAAACTATTTTATAAGCAGGTTTCGTGCTATCAAATGTCTGTTTTAGGGCTCTTAATTCGTCAGCCAAGGCTGAGTGCGAATTTCGTTTATTAACCGATATATAATAAGAAGACTGTTTTATTTTGGAACATCTATAGAGGCGGGAAAATCGATTAACATCGTGATGACATATTTCAAGAAGCTAGCCGAGCAATAAAATCAACATACCTTATTATTGCTTTACGGAATATACTCGTTTGTTTGATCAAGGATATTAACGATGTAAATATTGGTAAGTTTGATTAGTTGAATATTTCGCTTGATTTTTTGTTTTACTTATACAAGGCAGATAAATGGATTCACTAACAGGGATATCACCTTTTTATATAATTCCTAGGATCGATTTTGGAATAAATCTTTAGGAGAAATTACGATATTATGATTCATCACGAAAATCTGATCAACGAATACTCCTTAAAATTATAATAGAAAAATTTAATGCTATCCCATATATAAAGATCATCAAAGGGACATCGGTTTAATCCGCGCAAATCATTAGTTTATACTAGAACTTTCCGGAAAAAAAAATTTATTAAATACATATCTGAGGAATTTCTATTCTATGACTGCGGACTAATAATATACATGTGAAGCGCCTTACGACCAATTAATTGCTATCCTAAACATTCTAACCCGACTCTCCCGCAAGATTACTTGACGACATTTGCTTTACAGCATTGCAAATGTGCCAAAAAAAAATTTATTAATTGGGATATCCTTTGTCATATGATAATCGTGAAGACTCTTCACACTTCTAACCAATAGTAGAAGCAGGATCTACCGGCCAGTGACGTATTAGTGTGCATAGCAGAATTTTCCCAATATTGTACTGCGTATTTCAGGTGATCAATTTCACATGATCAGTCTATGCTACGATTGCGAACTTGAGTTTATTGCTTGAAGTGTTGCAGGTAAGACAATATTCCAACTTATCTTGGGAATACAACTTCGC